AAAAAATAAATAAATTCTATTAGAAATTCGTAAGGGTTGCCAAATGTTTTGATAAACAGCTGCCAACTTTTTTATCCTTCTCCCCCTTTCCTCCCCTCCTCTCCCTCTCCTCTTTCATCCCTCCCTCCTCCCTCTCACCCTCCATTTGTTTTTTACTTTTTTTTTTTTTTTTTGTTTAAAAAATATAAAATTTTATGATTTCTATTGTACAAAAAATTTCCATTCTCATTTCAATTAATAATTGATAATAATAATAATAATAACAATAACAATAACATCATCCTTATTATTTATTTTGTTCATTATTGTTATTATTATTATTAAATTTTTTTTTATATAGTTTTTAGCAGCATTATTATTATTATTATTATTATTGTCATTTCCTTTTTATTCATTTTAAATTCTTTTCACAAATTTTTTGTTTATTTCTTACAAAAAAAAAACATTAAAAATGACATTTAAAAGAAAATTTCTTTTCTTTCCTTTTCTTTTCTTTTTAAATGACAATTTAATAGTAAAACATTATAAATGCATTTTTCATAAAATTTTGACAGTAAAGGAAAATTTTTTTTTTGATGGGGTGAAGGGGAGGGGGGAGGAGGTGGAGGATTTAAAAGCCAAAATACGATTTTCAAATCTGCAACGATGATTATGATAATAATAATAAATATTATTCCCCCCCCCTTTTTTTTTTTAAAATTTATTTATTTGTCGACATTGATTTCCTTTCATTCATTCATTTATTAATAATAATAATAATAATAATAATATTATTTATGTATAATAAAAATCGTTTAAAGAAATACAAAGAGGTAAATAATTTTTTAAGAAAAAAAAAGAAACTCTCCGTACTCGTCATCATCATCATCATCATTATTAATTACTTTTTTAAAATATTCCTTTTTTTTTAGTATTATTATTATTATCATATCGTTTTCTAAATAAAATTATTTATTTAAAATAGAAACCCCTCACCGTGATTTTTTATTATAATAAGATTATAAACAAATGACATCATTAAAATATAAATAAAAACAAAACGTAAAAGAAGAAGAAAAAAATTAACAATTTTTCTTTTTTTGTTTAATTGTTAAAAAATTAAAATTCGTTGAAAAAATTTTAAAAAAAAACAATTGGAAAATGGAAACGAATTATTATTATTATTATTATTATTATTATTTGGGTCGTAACTCGTTTTCTAAAAAATTTATAATAATTACAAAATGTAATACGTACAAAATGTCGGACTAAAAAAATCATTTTTTTTTATTGCAATAACATGATCGAGAAAACACACAAATGGCGTCACGTTTTTATAAAAACGATGAATATATATATATGTATGGAATAAATAAAAGGTTTTTTTTCGGGGGGTAGGGTAGGGGGTGGTGCAGGGGAAAGGGTATGGAAGGGAGGAGGTGGTTTGTCGAAGGCAAAATGTTTTTTTTTTTTTTTTTTTTTCTGCATTTCCCTAATTATCATTTAACCATTCATTATTAATTATTTTCTACTGCGGTAATTTTATTATTATTATTATCATTATCATTTCCCTTTCCATTTACTTATTTAAAAAAAATAATAATAATAAATTTTTACATTTTCATTTCGAGGAGGAAAACCACCCCCTCCCACCTCCCGAAAAAAAATAAAAATTTAATAATAAACGTGAGTTTTCCATCTGACAAAAAAAAAAAAAAAATTGCAAACCTTTCTTTTTTTTTCCCTCCCCTCCCCTCCCCTTCCTTCCCTTCCATTCGAGTTCAGTAGGCAGAATTCTATAAGGGGAATGGAGGGGGTGAGGGGAATGGGAAAACGGGGGGGAGAAAGAAATGAAAACTTGGCATCGTCAATTAATCAACCTAAAAATGATGAACGAACGAAAAGAAAACTCTTGAAATTGAAAAAAAAAATTTTCTCACACGTTATATATATATATGAAAAATTAACGAAAATTAAAAATGGCTTCCGATGAAAGACGTGAAATGTGAGTTTTTCCCACCCCCCGCCCTCCTTTTTTCCCTTTTTTTCTTTTTTTTACACTATGAATATTCAAATCGAGAAAATTTAATTTAATTTTTTTTTTTTTTTTTAAACCCTTTATTTGATATTTTTCCGTGGCAAAAGATTAAAAATTCATTATTATTATTATTATTAAAACAACTGTTTTCATCATGGACTACTACTACATTATATTGTCTCCTCAGCAAAAAAAAAAAAAAGAAAAAATTTTATAATTTTTCTTCTGCTTTCTAACAATTCATTAATCTATTCAATGCAAATTATATTTAATATAAAACCGACAAATTTTAATTATATAAATTTCCGTTAAAAATAATTTTAACGAATTGAATTCGATCGTTATTTTATATTAATAATCAATATTAAATAATTTTATATATTTAAATAATAATAATAATAATAATGATTTATCTTACCTTTAACTAATATACGTTTTCCTTATCCGTAATTAAACAAACAAACACACACAAATAGTTTTTCTTTTTTTTTTTTTTTAAATAAAAAAATTTCCTTATGAAAAAAAAAAAAAAAAAAAAAAACTTATTATTACCCTTTCCACCGAAAAATTAAAAGAAAACACAATAACAATAAAATAAATAATTAAATAATATATATATATATATAATTCACTCACTATTTATCATTTTTTTTTTTTTTCAATTAATAACAATAACAACAACAACTTTAACACGACAAAATTATTAAAAAGAAAAAAAAATTTTTTTTTTATTAACAACAACCGACGCCATGAATTTATAACTAAAATCATTTTAACACATATAATAATATCATCATCATTACCATAATAATAATTTAACGAAACGACTAAGAGTTTTTCGTTTTTCAAAAGTTGGCAACGCGTTCAGCGTTGCTTATCTCGAATACGACGTCACCGACGTTCGCGAACCTTTTGAATATTTCCCCTTCCAAAATTTTTGCATTTGGAAGACTTTCGTACGCGTACGTACGTACGTACGTACGTCTAATTAATATTATTATTTCGTCATTTTTCCACTCGGGTTTTTTTCTTCTTTATTATTGGATTCGAATAAAATAATTAATTATATAAGAAAAAAAGGAAAAAGAAAAAAGAAAAATAAAGTTAGAAAGAAAAAGAAAAAGGAAAAAGAAAATAATTAATAAAAGAAAATTATTTATATATAAAACAAGAGAGACCTGCAGATGTGCACCGCAATGCGCGTCCGAGACCCGGCCCTGCCTTCTCCCGCACGGCGCACAGTGACACAATGCGGCACGCGCGTCGCGCACGCGTTTTTTTTTTTTTTTTCTTTTTTTTTTTTTTCTCTTCCTTATTTTAATAAATTCATGTTTCACTCACTCTCTCTCTCTCTCTCTCTCTACTCTTTTTACATTTGAATTTTATAAATCACATGGAAATCATATATTTATTCCTTTCCTTTCAAAACCTTTTTTATATTTAAAACAAAACGAAAAAACAACCGTTAAAAATTTTTATAACCGTTTCCCGACACGAATGATTTACGTATGAAACAAATACCCGCTTTTTATTACTATTTATATAAAAACCATAGACGTCAAAAACAAAATGAGGAAGTAACGGTAATTTTTCTTTTTCAATACTCGATTACGATTTGAATTAAAAACAAACGTTTTAAATTTATTATTATTATTATTATTACTAGTGTTTTTAACCGTTAAAAACCGTGAAATTAATAAGAAAAAATTTCTTTTTTTTTTCGTAAGATTTATAAATACGTCGGACGTCGTGTAAGATGAACGAACACAGACTCCTTTTCTCTGATAGTAACAACACAGACGGGTAAAAAGAAAAAAACTTTAATCGATAACTGACTTTACCACCACCATCTTGACTATCATCCCAATGACGTCATCATCAATCTTCGTTTTTCTTTTTCGCCATCTTTCTTTTTAACATTCGAATCTTTATTCGAACTGCAAAAAAAGAAAAATTTTAATTATAAATTATTTAACGGATTATTATTATTATTATTATTATTATTATTATTAGGATTGAATAAAAAAAATAAAGAGAGAAAAAAAAAGGGTGAAGGGTTTTAATATTTTATAAAACATAAAAAATTGACTTGAACATAAATCAAAAAAAAATTTTTTTTTTTTTTTTTTGTAAAATGAAATATTATAAATAAATAAATAATAATAATATACGTACCTGAATGTTTCTTCTTTAAATCATTCATATTTTTTTTAAAGATGAAATAATAATAAAAAATTGAAAAAGAAAAATAATAAAATGTTAAAAAAATATCGTTCGATAAATCGTTCGATTTTGTTCATAATTTAACACGGACGAAAATAAAAAATAAAATGGCGGATCATGTAAAAATAAAATAAAATTACTATAACGGTCGCTTGGGAAAGTAAAAAAAAATAAAAAATAAATAAATTCGATAATAAATTATCCGTTTTCTTATTTTAAACTTACGAGTTTTTAAAAAAAATAAAAAATAAAATAAACGTGATAATTTAATGCCAAAGTTTTTTCAACACCTTTTTTTTTACCTGCTCCTGTTTCTACTGCTGGAAAAAGAAAACCGTTTGAAATTTTTACTACAAAAATCATGAATGGATAACAAAAAAAAAAAAAAAAAAATTTCCCACCCGGAAAAATCAAATAAATCCAAACGAAAAAAAAATAAAAATCTCACACACATTATTATCAAAAAAAAAAAATTAAAATTTTATTTTTAATAGTGGTGATAATAATAATAATAATAATAATAATGATAATTCGGTTATAATTTTTTATTATAATCGTTTAAAATTGTTTCTATAAATTTATTTGCTGACGAATTTTCCAACCGTAAAATTCTAACAAATCCGCAATTGTATCCTGCGGCTACGTGAGTAAAGCTAATAAAATTCGGGTTGAAACAAATCTAAAACAAAACAAAAAACATTTTTTTCCTCTTTTTTTTTTTTGAAACAAAACGTCCAGAAAAAAAAAAAACCAAGGGAATTTAACAACTAACCCTATTAATGGCTTTCACCGGACAAATTTCCGGATTAATTTTTTTCCTATTTTTTTTTGTTTTTCCCTCCCCATCTCCCATTGATCCCTCATTAAATATTAAACCGTATTCCGAATTGATTTCCTCGTATGATAGCAGCTTAGGCACCTTTTTGTCATTTTCCTTATCCGCCACCACCACCACCTTATCCCCTTCTTTTGAATCATCATCATCATCACCGTTTAATTTTTTCATCGACACAGACGATATCGACTGCAAGAAACCAAAAAAAAAAAAACATCGAAATCCCTTTTTTTTTCCCCCAAAAACGTTTTCCGACAGGATTCCCGACTCACGTTTTGTTTTTCCTTTTTCCTTTTATCGCTTAGAAAATTTTTAAAATATCTCAATTTGATGTCACCGTCGTCGCTACATCCGCACAATGCGTTCAACCAATCGCTGAATGACAAATTCTGAAAAAAAAATCATTATTATTATGTGTTGTCAAACGATCGAAAAGCGGAAAATGTTCAGGGGATCACCAAACAACTATTTTCCATGACCAAACCAAACTGTTGACGATCGTGAAAAATATCTTTGACGAATCTCACGAAACCTTTTCCGGTCGTCGACACGATATCGTCGAAATTATAAATGACCAGGGGTAGATTTTTGGGCCAAACTGCACCCAAACATAATTCTTTGCTGAATTGTTCCACGGGATATCCGGGCTCTTCCAAATCCCATAATTTAACGATACGATCCAAAGCAGCCGATATGATAAAACGATTATTAACCGGGCAAAACGTCACGGCTGGAAAAAAAATCCAATCGAGTGAATTTTCCTGTTTTTCCTGTTCCTCTTCCTCTCTCTCTCTCTCTCTCTCTCTCTCACCTGTAACCGTCGTTTTATGTGCTTGAATTGTTAAATGAGGTCTCATGATCGTGGATTTTTCTTCGGCGTCGTTAAACGGCGACGAAAAATTATTCAAATTCCATAGAGCTAAAATTCCATTCGCGTAACCGCCGGCGATCGAACCGTTTTTTCCAACGGACAAATTCAAACAACTATCCGCTAAATATTCGTCTGTGGTTAATTTTGCAACGGGGAAAACTTCGTAAATGGGAATCATGCTAAAATCAAATTAAGAAAATTACAAAATTCGAACATGTTGCCAACAAAACAACGTAAAATGAACATCATATTTTCACCCGTTCGTTCGAGAAAGTCGATCGGGATCGCATATCGACCAAATCCTAACGATCGAATCGTCGGAAGCTGTCGCCAATATTCCCAACCTTGATATTTTATCATTCGAACCTTCCATCGAACAATCATCGGGAAACCACGACATGTCCCATATTTCGCTATCGTGAGCAATGCCTAATGATAATTTCGGCGCGGTGACGTCGGACCTGTTTGAAAACAAAAGAAAAAAAAACAATTACAATTCTTTGAACTTGTTTTCTTTCTTTCGGTAAAATATTTAAGTTTTAAAACTCGTCCTAACTTTTTATTATTTAAAAACCCGCAATCCCATATTTGTATGAGCGAATGTTCCGAACTTCCGGTTCGATCGTGAACGTTTCTAAGATGATTAATTTCCTTCGTCGTAGACAGTGCTAAATATTGTTTGACTTGTTTATTGATCATCCTGTTGAAGGATACCTTACACCATGACATGCACCTGACACTTCCGCCGGTGAAGAACGTCGTTGTACCTGTATAAACACACAGAAGGAGAAAATAAAATAAAAAATTTTAAAAATGATTTACTATAACCTCACACTCACCATCGACCGATTCGCTATCGAATATTTTAAACCGTCTCCATTCTTTGACGTCATCGTTGTCGTCTGCTCCTTTTAATTTAACAGAAATTGATTTTTTCATTTCCGGAAGTAAATGTGAATTATTTTTATCTCCAATGAATTTCCAATCGGAGATTTTAGTGTGAAATTCCGGCCAGGGATCGACTTTCATTTCCGTTTTTTCCGATTCTAAAGTAACGGTCAAACTGTCACTGAACAATTTCAATACTTTACTTATTTTTTGTTCGTCACACATTTTCGATCGATCTTTTTTCGATTTTTTCGATTTTTTCATTTTTTTCGATTTTTGTTTTTCACCCGATCCATCGTCTTCTCCACTATCGAGTTCGCTATTATTTAACGATTCTTTTTCTTCGTCATTTAAATCCTCTTCCTCCTCATTTACATCATCATCATCATCATCATCTTCCTCTTCCTCCTCTTCTTCTTCCTCATCGCCATTTTCATCGCTTTGGTATTCTTCGCTATCACATTCACCTTTTTCGTACTCTCCTTCTCCATCTTTTTTTTTCTTTTTCTTCTTCATAACTTTGGTTTGATGATTTTTAACGTGATCCACAGTATCGGATTCATTCACCGAATAATAGTTACATGTCTCGCATATGTATACTTTTTCAGGTAAATGAAAACAAGTGAAAAAATGTTGTTTGGCTTTTTTCACGTCATCGGTTGTCGTCGAACAACCATCGTGTTGACAAGGAATTTTTTTATTTTCACGTTTTAATTTGTACCACGAATTATACATCTTTGGACTTATTTTTGGTAACTTTTCATTCCCTTTCTAATAAAAGGTTAACAAGAAAAATTTAAATTCTTCAAATAATGAAAATTAATGGTATTTAATTTAAACTTACCTCATATAAAACATACTGCATTTTAAGAGCGTCTGCTTCAACTTCATTCATAGCTTGCAAAACTTCATGAAATTTTGATGCAGCCCTAGAAGAATAATAATTCTTTTAAAAAAAATACATTTTTACAAAATTTCATTTTGAAGACTTAACACACAATGAAAAAACTAATTTAATAAAAAATATTACTTTACTGCAGATCGTCTTTTTCCAGATGGTACAACAGAATCCTTTTTCGTTTCATTATTTTCTTCTAAATTATTGATTTCATTGGGTGGTTCGACAGGATGTGAAAGTTTTATATGCATTGGCATGCTGTATGGAAGACATTTAGCAGAACAATACTGACATTGAATTTTAAGAGCTTCTTTTTCTTCTTCCGACTTTCCACAACTTCTAATGTGAGACACATATCCTAAAACGCTTCTTTTAACATCTTGACACAGTTCGCAAGTACCTTTTTTTACAGCTTTAAAAGCCATTTTAACCAAATCTGTTACTACCTTTTCATCATTTAAATCAACAGGTGGTTCTCCTTCGACCCAACCTAATCCTACATGTTGTCTGAAATTATGATTTTCAAATTGTTTACGAGAACCGGTAAAATCACATTTACCACATTTCACTTCATATTTTTTTTTATCCAATAACTGTGTCATCAATCCTTCATTAGAATCATTTTTCATTTCACTTTTAGGTTTTCTTCCTCTCTTTTTCGGTTGTGAAACAGGTGTATCATTGTTTTTTTCAAAACTTTCCATCTTTGGCTTGGCATCAGTACTTTCGCTCTCATTTTTTTCATCATTGGGTTCCTTTTTTTTACGTTTGCCATAGCAGCCATTTCCTGCATCATTTGATCTGCAAAAATTTTTTAAAGTAAATTAAATATTTCTTGAATAATCAAATTAATTTATCACACATTTAATTACTTAATTAACAACCCACCTTCTTTTACCTTTGCCATTAGGAAACAATTGTTGTGTATTTTCTTTGACAGAATTTTTAATGGAATCTTCATTGTTCGATAAAAAATCAGTCTTCTTATAATTTTTTGATTTCATCATTTTTTTTTTTTAAAATTTATTCAAATGTATGATTCAAATTCTTAAATCTAAAATAAATAAAAAAAAAAAAATCAATTTAAAAAGATTTACAAACCAGTTATATACATAAATTTTTTTTTTTCCAATTTCTATGTAAGTTAAACTAATACATTAATACAGAAATTGAAAAATAATTCTTTTTATCCAGAGATTTGTAAATGTTTATTTTTTCTTTTAATTTACAAAAAATAGAATTTTCCCAGGAAAATTTTTTTACACGTTTTGAGATTATTTAATGGGATTATCGAATTCATTTTTTTATAAAATAAATAATTGATAAAATAATCCCTGATAATTAATTTGCTACAACCCGAAAATTAATAACTTTACGAGTTAAAATAAATAAAATTTAATTATTATATTAATTATATATTTTACTAAAATAAATTAAAATAAAATGAGTGTTAAATTGAAAATAAAAACTATGAAATTTTCGTAATTAAATTGTACAGAAGCCGGAACGAATTAAAAGGTTTCATTATTATTTTAAACATAATTAATTCAACCTTACTCAAAAATAATTATAAATAAATAAAACATATTATATAAATTATTTATAAATAACCATACCTTTTTTTAAAATCATTTTTTTTTAAAATCTAAATACAAAATTCGAGATTAACTACGCAAATAGAAATAATATTTAACAAAAAAAAAAAAAAATTTCATTTAATATAAATACACTTAACGTTCGAGTAAAAGTACATGTAATCATCGAGTAATAATAAAAACAAAAAAGTTTATTTTCTCTATGGAATACACAACTCCAAATGAATACATTATTTATAATTAAAAATTTTTTTTTAAATCAAAATAATTATATTTATTTCTCCGTCAGGTAATAATTAATTGTAATTTATTTCATAGGTTTATTTAAAAAAAAAAAAACAAAAAAAAATTAAATTGATTATTATTATTATTATGTAATAAAAATAATAACCGTTATTACAGATGTTATACGTTATACAACACATAAAAAAATTTTAAACATTATTGTAGAGTTTTTTACAAAGTTTTGCTTATTTAAAGCAAAGTATACTTCAACTTTCCGAAAGTGATTTTTTAGACGGAGAAAATTTAGGACATAAGAAAGTTAGATTTAATGACACGCCAGGTATTAAATGATGAAAAAATATGTATAAAAAAAATATAATTGAAAAAAAATTTTAAACTAATTATTCCTATTGTTTTATAGAAATAATTCCTATTCCTAAAATATCATGCTGCCGGAAAGTATTTTTCTGTATTTGTCGAAAACTGAAATTTTGTTGTTGTCTACTTTTTAGTATTTTTTGCTGCAAATGTTTTTATATGAACAAGCATGGAGAATCTGAAACATGTTGTAAAAATGAAATAGGTAAGAAATAATGAAAAACCTAAATCGATATGACATAGTGATCATTTGCGCTTGATTTTAAATTATTATTATTAATGTAATTTTTTTCCCTTCCCCCCCCCCTCAATATTATACAGACAGCAGCATTTACAATGAATAAATATGTAGCTTTTAAATCAGAGCTGGATACTCCATTATTCGAAATTGACGAAACTTTACACATCTACTCCAGAAATAACAACTTTAAAAGGTTGCTTCTTTAATTAATTATTATCGACAAATTATAATTTTAAATTCATTATTGTTACAACAAAAAAAAAAAAAAAAAAAAAAAAACTGCTGTAATGAGTTTTATAACAAACAAATATTGTTTTTATAATCAATCAATATAATAATATTTTTTTCAAATAGTTTTTTTTTTTATTAGCGTATAAAAAAATTTTTTAAAAATTAATCGTCTATTTGTCATACAAGTTTTATTTCTCCAGTGCATTGAGGACAACATTCTATTTTGGGGGGATGAGTTTGAAGGTAGAGTTTTCCGCTTAATGTCACAGCTGCTCCGACGACAGCATTACAAGCTTCATCCGGTTCTTTAATTAATTGCAGCAATCCGGGATTAGATAAAATCTTTAATAAGAAAAATATTTTTTTTTAAAAACAATTTAAATTTGTTTACTTAAATAAATTAATTACTAATTAATTGAACTTACTTTTTCAGCAGATTTTTCCGCTTGTGTTTTTTCCCAATGATTTAAACAAACATTTTTTTTTATGTCCATTTGTTTTGATCCTAATAGCTCTACGATTAATATTTCAGACAGATTTAAATTTTCTTTGCAAACATCCATTATGTTCCATTTAAACATTTTATTTTTTTTATTATGCAAATCGAAATTATCCCTTAGAACACAAAGATTGTCATAGGTTTTTGCTACATTTTCCCGAATCATTTTTTCTTCGTCTAAAAATTTTTTTAATGCATCATTTGCCTCGTTAACTTTTTGACATAAAGATGCTTTCCATCTAGCAAGTTCTTCTACCATAACACTAAAAATATACAAATTCAAGTAAAAAAAAAAATTTTCCTATTTTTAAATAAAAGTTTCTGTTGGAAAATTAAAACCCAAACCTGCTGGCTAAAAATTTACTTCTCCAAACTTCGCATTGACCGGCTAACCATTCTGTTTGTTCTTGATGAGACGAAAGAGATTCCGACGATGCTAATAAAGCCTGAGCCAAATGTAACTTATCTTCTGTTAAAACATGAACTTTTGTTTCCATATCCTCTCCAACAGCTGCAACTAATAAATTTTTCAATTCTCCATTAACTTGAACTTGAAATTTTAATTGATTTTCTAATTGTTCGTTTTCTTCTTTCAACGTTAACATTTCCAATTCTAATATTTTAAATTTTGCTTTCCAATCAACATCACTACTTTGATTTTCACTTTTTACATCTGATTTAACACAGTCTTTTTCATCCTTTGTTTCATTTTCCGATAATTTCTTCGTTCTGAAAATTGCCGCAAAATTTTTCTTCGTTTTTTGCTTGTTGTTCACTTTGATCGAATTCGGCACGATGGGTTTAACAGCTGCTTTATAAGGTTCATAAGGCACAAATTTAGGTTCTCTATTTTTAATATTTTCAAATAATTTTTTTTTTTTTTTATTTACTGCATGAGGAGGTGTAAGCTGTATTGCCAAATCGAAATTATTAAAAGGTACACTTTTGGGTAGAGTAAAATTATTAGTTTTATCTATTGATTCTTTATTTTCTTGCGGTTGCAAAACTATTGTATGTTCTACAGATTCATAATTTTCTATTTTTTCCATACCATCTCCCTGAGTACGATGTAAAGGAGTGTTGGTTGCCATTTTTTAAAAATACTTTTTCTGAAAATAAAAAAATTTTTTATTTAATTAATCCAATATTTAATTTCCTGTTTTTTAATTATTCGACAAATCAATTAACAAACTAACCAAATAGTATCGATTAATTTAAAAACTTGATGTGCAGGATCAGGAATAACATTAAAATAAACTTTGTATTTGGGTAAAGAATCAGAATAATTTGTATTAACGAATCTATTTTCTCTATTCAAATTTGTTTTCTCATAAGTAATGAAAACTTTCCCGGAGACTTTAGCAAGAAGATCTCCATTTCCTGATATTTTAACATTTAATCCGGGTAACCATTCTAATGTTCTTTGTCGAACTAAAATTTGATTTGGATTTACATGAGATGAATCTAATATTTTAATACCATATGTACTCCTATACGATGGAATATTTATCTTTGATTTATAACGTATCGAACCTGAAATATGAATTTTATATTAATCACGTTCATATAAAAATTAATTATTGATACATTTTCTGATTTAATATCGAATAAAAAATCACATCTTAATAAAATTTTTTTTAATTTTATGCGTATATCCTACCTAAGCAACAGCTGTAAGCTTCGGAAAGAACTTTACGTGAACATGAATTTAATTGAAGCAATAACGCGGCCATTATTACTTTCCTTTGATTTTAAATTAATTTTTTTTTCTGCTGCCACTTTTACGAAAATTACCTTTCTTTATTTCAATTTGCTCCAAAAACCAAAAAATTTGAAAAAAAAAAAAAAAACTATTAAAAATCTTTTGATGTCATTACAATTTAAATAAAATTTACTTTTTGTATGTAAAAAAAAAAAAATCACTTAAATAATTTTCTTTTTTAAACAACGATCGCAGGAATATAAAATATTTAAGAAATGTAATTCATTTGTATTATATAGGAAAAAGTATAATTAGTTCATCATATTAGGTAAATATGGATATTACTAAATAATTAATAAAAAACAAACAAACATAATATTTATAAATTACAATAATTGTCATATAAAGAAATTCCCTATAATAATAATTATTATTATTATTTTTTTTAAACAAATTAAAAAAAAAAAACAATTGCTCGCCATTTTTTTTTTTTTTTTAAAAAAACTCTGAGCAAAATTTTCTTTTCTTTTCATAATATGGTGTTTTTTTCCCCATTTTGTTTTTTTTTTTTTTTTTTTTTTTTCTTGTCTTAAAAGTTTCAAATTAAAATTTAAATTTTTTACTTGTTAAATTCGTCGTTCAAACAAACAAACAAACAAAGAAAAATTTCGGATTATTTAATAATGCAAAACATTTTTCTTTTCCCTTCTGTTTAATTAAAAAAAAAACCGTTATCGATCCATTAATTAGATTCCATACTAATTTAACACAAACTCTTTTTCCCTTTCAATTATTATTATTATTATTTATACTTTTCCAATAGCAATTTCCCAACAATCATAATGTTATAATCATTTCTGCGGTTCAAAACAATTTTCCTTTTTATTTTATATTAAAGGTTGATAAGTATGTGTGTGTGTATAATTAATCTCATTGACATAAAATCACTGATCAGATATATATAAAATCTTTTTTTCTTTCTTTTAACTTCCTGAAGATTGAGTCACATTTTCCCGCCATGTATCTTGTTCTACGGACGAATCTAAATCTAATATTAATTGTTCTATGTTTGATTTTGCTGTCGCATCATTTAAAAACGAGTTTGGTAAATTTCTATTAAAGTTAACTCCTGTAAAAAAAAAACAAAAAAAAAAAATAATAATAATAATATCAACACACTAATTGTTTATCATCATTATTTAAATTTTACTAGATCAACAAGAAATGGGGGGGGGGGAGACAACTTGAAATCTTTTTTCCTTTTCTTCCCTCGACGAAACGACACTTACATTATTAATATTTTTTTATTTTCATTACGGTTTCCATGTAAGTAAGAGCACATAACAGGGAATAACAGGGAAAATGTAAATTCTGGGACGTTCCCTTACCGTTAACACACCATTTTTCCCAATTGGCTATCAGCGTCGATATAAACTGAAAATACACGTGCGATTTCGTGTAAAAATAAAAAAAAAAAAAGAAAACTCATTCGAAATGGATTTTATGATAAATCAAATTTACAAAATCTCGTGTAAATATCAATAATAATAATAATAATCAACTCTCGTTAAATCTTCTTCATCTGGCATTGTTAAAAATTGGTACCAGAGGAAGAAAATGAAGGAAAGGAAAGGAAAGGAAAGGAAAAAAAATTCATACACGATAATAACTAGAATATTGGATGCTAGGATCTCTTGATCTCAATCGTAGAAAATACTTCCTTAGCAGAGAATTTATTTTTTGTATTTTAACTTCGCTCGAGTGTATTTTTAACGACGAAAGGATTTGCAACGTTTGAGGTGCCATTAAATAACATTTTTCTCGCACGAAAGCGGATAAATTCGATAAAGTCGTTCCTGATAAATAGAATTATAAAAACTTTTGTTGGGAGTCACGACTTAATGAAATGCACGAATGAATCCCGTACCTTGTTTTTGATAGAATAAAACGTAAGCGTTGCAAAAATCATCTTCCTGAGGTTTTTGTGCTGTTACCGTTTCGTCGTTGAACAAATGCCAATCACCCGATTGTGGATTTTTGGCGTAGGCAGTGTAGTGACCGGCAGATGCCCCTAAAATAAAATAATAAATTTTTTTATATTAAAAAATTCATACATATATATATATACATCTTTCGATAAGAAAATCATCATCATCATCATCATCACCTCCGAAATGATTGACGCATGCGTACAAATTATACGGTCTGATTGTTCCCTGTTGTATTCGAGAAGGCGGTACCAAATTTAAACCCGTCAATGGAAAAGAAACTTTATCGTCTAATTTCACGCTCGTGTATTCGTGAAAAACAAATCTGAAAACATTTTATTATTGAACGTTTAAAATAAAATAATAATAATAATGATATTTTCAAAACATTTCGTCAATCAATCAATCAATCAATCAATCACCTTTTAAGATAAACAATTAAAAAATCCGGATACCTCCAAACGGAAAGCGTTTTTGTTGCGCATTGATTTCTTTGGCACGTTGGACAATACCAAGGATTGTGTTCATCTAGAGTTTCACTAAAAATTACATTACAGTATAAGGAAAAAGTGTCAACCCTTTCATTTTTACAGTAGCTATTAATATGTACGCAAACCTTTCGCTAAAAGCATCCAAACAATCGTATATTGATAATTGTTCTTGACTTCTAAATTCTTTGAGACTATGATGTTCTATAGCTGGGATTTCAACTACTAAACTAGTGAATAAAACAGCCAAATTGTCTCCGGTCTGAAGGTTGATCTCCGCATCTTCGGATACTTTACAACCTTTGCAACGAGCAGTGTACATACAACGAGAACAATGATAACCCTGAAATTCATTTTTTATAATGAAACGTTGACAAACATGCGAAAAAACAATATGGCGGACGATGCCATGATTATCGCGTACCTGTCCATCGACGAATGCAATGGAATAAAAATTACTATAGGGAATTAATTTTCCAACGATTTCATATAATTCAGACCCTTTGAGCCTGTTGGGCACTTTGATTAAATGAGGATGTCCGAATAATTTTTGACATTTCTCACTACTACTACTCCCGCCGTCTCCTTCGATATCCAAACGGAACAAAACGGGAATTTTGAGCATCCTAACGGAACTTTTAAAATCCACATTTCCGTCGACGAGTTCGAAAGCTTTTTCGGGATCGACTAAATCATTGCAAACGGGACATTTCATGAGTCCATTTTCTTCTCCCTCGTTGTAATGTTTAACAGATCGCTAAAAATTAATTTTTAATTAATATTTTGGATTTTTTTTAAAAAAATTCTTCCTCCCCGCCCCTCCTTTCTCTTCAAATTCTCACCTCGATGCAACTATCACATAAAAAACAGGAACATCCTTTGTGATTTTTCAATCCCTTTTCGACTTCTTCCAAACAAATAGCGCAACTTTTCCAATCGTCTTTATCCGACGAAGTCAAATCCACCGGACGACATTTTTCCGTTACCCACGCGTCCCCTCCTCCCTGATCTTCCAAATGAGGCCCGTAGAAAACTGGGCCGATAAAGGGCGAGGATTCGATTGAAGTTCGACCGTTGGACGACAACAAATCGGATTCCTCTTTTAAATTGTTATTAATTGTACTAGATATATTTGATTTCGTCGTATCGGATTCACTTTGCTTTATCATTTTCCGAGTTTCGACATTGTTTAGTTTCACAGTCTTACTACCGAGTTCTAGAGCGTGAGAAACGGGATACTGTTCGGGAGTTAAATCTAAAGGTTCGCTCCTGTGCAAACTCGCAGAGTCGCCTTTAGACAACGAAGAAGACACTGTTGCATTAACATCATCAGGTATTTCAAACGCATAAATACTCCTATATGGATCAGACGTTCCTAAATAACGAATGTACAAATTTTCATCCTGTAAAAAAAAAAAAAAAAAAAAAAAAATTGAAAATAATTTAATTTAATTATAAGAATTGGGGGGGGGGGAAATACTAACTAAAATTCTAGCAATATGATGATGTAAAACTTCGGCTAATTCGAGCGACATGGTAACATTAACTTTCATCAACTTTCTCAAATGTTCTTTTATTTTAATTATTTTGTCCTGTTTATTAAGGGTGAGTAAAAATTTTGTGGGAGGATTAGAATTGGCGGGAACAAACGTCACACATATTTGTTGTTCCATCGCGTGAGGTAACGGTACGGACAAATACATGAAAGGCTCATACGTAGACGATACGTATCTGCACTCGGAACAAACAACCTAAAAAAAAAAAAAAAAAAAAATTACAAGTTTACCACCACCACCAAAAAAAAAAAAAAAAAAAAGAGGTTAAATCAAAAAGGAATACCGTGCTTTTAAATTGACCCTGAAAAGAATCAACAATAACGCTTTGATTGTGTCCCAAATGCTTTTCCCACTGTTTATCCGCTTCTAAATCATCATCCATATTTATCGGACTGTTCATGCTGGTCGCACCTGAAAATTCTCCATTTCTACTACCCATTTGCTCTAAATTATTACCCCCGCTATCGCAAAGTTTTCTCTCGTATTCCATTCGAAAATTTTTTTCTTTTTCTAAACTTTCTTCTAACTGATAACACACACAAAAAAAAAAAAAATTATATTTTTAAATATTATTTACGTCACCGTACAATGTACTCAAATTTTTTTTTTACCTTAAATCGTTTATTATTACTATTATAAAATGTTTCTAATGTCAAAAATTCTTTTGTGTTTTCGTTATTATCAATTAATTTATTCGTTTCCTTTATCCGTTTCACGCTAACCTAAAAAAAAAAAAAAAAAAAAAAAAAAAAAAACATTTTAACAAAGTTTTCATTTTTAGTTAACAATTTAAATAATAAAATATCAACAACAACAACAACAAAAATATATATTACAGTTTTCCCATCAAAGTTATGAAATTCTGTTAAATTAGGATTTTCCAATGCATCCCTCCTCCTCGTACTCTCGTACTTGGGAAATTTATCCGAATCAAAAACTATTTCATTATTTGGTCCTTGTTCGGTAACCAAAACATTTACGTTTGACGTTTTGGCATCTTTCAATATGTCGTCATAACCCCGAAAACATTGAGGAACATTATTTAAGGAAGCAACTTCATTTTTTTCAAATTTTGTCGTCGCGTCTAGTTTAAGAATAACTTTCGAGTCTTTTTTTAAATTGTTATCTAAAATAATATTGTTCCCGGTGTTGTCAACTGATATCCCTGATGCGTCTTCAACCGGACTGTCTCCTTCGGCAGCTTTAAATTAATTCTCTTATTAATTATGAATAATTTACTGGAACTAATTTTTCGTAAAATAAACTTACCATTTCCACTAATTGAATCCATTGCTTCCCATAAAATTGAACTACCCGATTGAAAACTTTTAAATGGTTGAACATCTTCCGGTAAAGGTCTCATTCTAATTTGACTTGCACCTATAGAACTTTCCGAGCTATGAGAAGATGAAGATGCTTCACATCTTAATCCAGTTATTGACAAAGCAACCTAAAATAAAGACAAATTTTTTTAAATAATAGATAGGAAGAGGTTTAAAAAAAAAGTAATTGGCATTTAATTACTTGACTGCCGGAATCGGGATCGGTATTTTCCTGGATTGCATTTCTCGGAACGGAACTATCCCTGTCCTCTTCACACGTACTGTGAGGAGTCATTGGATCGGCAGAAAGATCTGAAACGTGACTTTTACTGCTAGCCGTGTTAAGAAGCTCGTGAAGACTACCTAAGACTAATGCTAAAAATTCCTGGCAATCATGTTGTCTATAATCCTTAAACTGCGAATGATGACTACCCAAGGCTTGATGGAAATCAGTTGGTTTTACTTTACTGTATTTACCACTCCAAACTTTTTGAAATAAATTCATGAAATGAGTGGCCAAAGAATCTGGATTGGCAGTATCTTCTGATACTTGCTTCATAAAAAACTGAACCATTGTCGGAGTGTTAAGCAAACATTGCAAACCGGAATTCATAAAACATGTATTTCCAAGATTGCAAAGTCCACACACTCCCGGAGAAGATGAATCTAATATTAAAAAAAAAAAAAAAAAAAAATATTAAATAATTACAAATCAAAGTAGTTTTATTAAATGAGAAATTTGAAATAAATTACTTAAAACATCTCCATTTTGATCTCCACTAAACAAGTATTCAAGATCAGCATTGAAATTAGGACTATCTGATGTAGGTGGGACATGCATTTCATCATAATTTGTACTACTCGGCAAAGGTAAAACACCTAAATCAGTCTCACAAGGTGTGGAAAAATTTGCATCCTCTTCCCTATGATAATAATTAATAAAGAATTTAATTATTTACTTAAAATTGAATTTTAATTATTGGAAAAGCTTGGAAAATATTACAATTTATAATATAAAAATTTTTACATTACCAATTAATATCACAGGCATCTTCGATTGCCATTTCTTCAGCTCTATCACTTGGTGAATCACCAAATTCAGCTTCAGTTGGACTACTCGGAAATACTCTACCAGCTTCAAAATCGTAATTCTCTTCAGATTCTGCAGTTTCTACTTCTTTATTACTGCTTAATCTTGCCTCCAAAGTATCTAAATGGTGAGACAGCTCTGATTCAGATTGATCCATTAACAATGTATCTGTATTAAAATAAGAAATTACATTTTTAATTTTCCACTATTCACTAAAAAATAATTTGGGAATCATTATGGAAGCTTTTACTTAGATAAACAACTATAAACAAGCATACTACAGAATTATTTGTCAAAGCAAAATTTTTTTTACAAAATTTTAACTTTATACTAACACTAATTATCTGACACAGTTCTCCATAGTCCCACGGTTAATTGTTAGAAAATTTACCTAGCCTAGATTCTACAGAAGAATTCAAAGCAGTGGCAACAAATTTGGCAGATTATATAATGCAATTTCTCTTTCCTTCTTTTCAATTTTTCCAAAACCCGTTATTTGAAATAAATTAACCTTTCCTTGTTTCCTGAGTAATATATAACGACGTGTACATCCATTTTCCGTTTATTAAGCCAAGCGAACGACAAAGCGGTAGTCCAAAGCCACCGGCCGTGGCCTATTTTCAAAATAAAAAAAAAATATTACCTATGTCAAATAAAACCAAAATCACAATTTATTTAATAAAGCCCGTACCTTAATGTAAAAAATATATTTAAAAAACTAAAGAAAATATTAACTTAATAAAAATAAAAAAAATTCAAATTATAACAGGAACTTATTAAATTCACTAACAACACATTAAAATTCGGCAGACATTACTACGAAACCAAAATTAATCAGAGCGACAACTTTGCAGAAACATTAACAGGTGAGATTAAAATTCGTCGTGGATTTAGAAAAAAATGGCGCAATTTTTTTTTTTTTAGAGGCTAATAAATTAAATAAAATCACAATTACTTCAAAATATGAACAGATATTTACAAAAAAGCAATTACAATTGAATTATTTAAATAAATGTTTTCAATATTTAAAATATATGTTACATACGTTAGCTTAAACATTGATATTTTTAATTATTTTACAATTTGAATAATTTAAGGGTCAGGGGTTATCCTTGATGAAATAACTATGATAATAATTTTTAAATAAAATAAAATCAATTATTAAAATATGGCTTTTGATTATGTATGCTTGTACTTTTATAAAAAATTTTTTAATTGGTTTCAAATAGTAAAATTTTATTTACCTTTTGAAATTCTATATGTAACATTGGTGATATCACAAGCAGGAATTTGCGTTTTTTGTCAATTAGAAACGTGGTATATTTCATGTTTTCTAAAATTAGTAAGTAAATTGTTTTGTTGCAATATACACTGGGGGGAAGGAAAAAACTTTATGTGGCATTTTCGAAATAATTTTTTTCTATTATTAAAAAACTTATTTTTTCCAAAAATAAATTCCCGTTAGGTTTTTTTTTTTCTAATGACCGATTTTTAATTTTTCTTTTATTAGAATTTTATTCACCGAAAATAACTATTAAAACTTGTTAATTTAATTACAAGTAAATATAAAAAAATTAATTTTTTTTTAATGATCATTTTAAAGACAAGGAAATAAATTAGTTTCAAGTCACGCCGGTAGGTGAACTCGGTGACGTTCACGAAGATGGCGTAAATGATTTAACAAAAAATTATTAACAACGCGCAAACGTGACATTGAATATTTGAACCGTCAATTTTGGTTTGTCATTATTATGTTTATTATTATTACTTTCTTTAAATAATTAATTTTTTTTAATGATAAATTTTATATATAAGAAAATAAAGAATTGCTTTTTTTATTTTAAATTTTATTAATAAATTTATTAAAATAGACTTTGAATTAGTATTCTTGTAATTATTTAAAAAAAAAAAACCTGCACACCTTGAGTACAAAAGTTCAAAATAACAAATTTTCCACTTTTAAATTTATTATGAAAAAATTATGACAGTGTATAAAATAGTCTTACGCGCTTAATTTCTTTTATAAAAAATTATTTAATACTATCGAAAAAGTAAAAAATTTAAGAGGAAGTAAAACTACAGTAAATATTTAATAACAAATAATTCGATTTACTATCATTAATCAATTTTCTAAATTAATATTTTAAAATTTTATTTTGCAGAAATCAAAATACGATAGAATTGCGTTGAAATATAGAAGATTCAAAACTAAAACAAAATTCGAAATGTTTAAAACGATTTTATTTCAACTTTTGGTTTTTTTTCGATCTCTCTATGATTATGCAGTCGATTTTATATTTGGTCTTATGATATACGACGATACGAAGAAAAAAATTATTCCACCTGTGAAAAATCGTATTGTTTTAGAAAGCGCAACATCACTCGCCAAAAAAATCAGAGAAAAGGAATTAACAGCAGAAACTGTTGTTAGAGCATTTATTGAAAGGATCGAACAAGTTAATCCTATAATTAATGCTGTTGTCGATGAGAGATTCGATTTAGCTATTAAAGAATCACAAGAAATAGATAAATACTTGAAAACTACCACTGATCCAATTGATAAAATAGAAAAAAATAAACCTCTATTAGGAATTCCATTTACAACAAAAGAATCAACTTCTTGCAAAGGTTTAAATTACACTTTCGGTTTGCTCGCAAGAAAAGGAGAAAAAGGTACAGAAGATGCTGAAGTTGTCAGGTTGATGAAAGAAGCAGGTGGAATTCTTTTAGGAGTCACTAACATGCCTGAATTGAATTTATGGTGCGAATCTAGAAATAATTTGTATGGACAAACCTTGAATCCTTTTAATACTACAAGAACTGTTGGTGGATCATCTGGAGGAGAAGCGAGTATAATATCTGTGTGTGGATCTCCCATCGGTATCGGTACAGATATAGGGGGATCAATTCGAATGCCTGCTTTTTTTTGTGGTATTTTCGGTCACAAGCCCACAACTGATGCAGTTTCTATGAAAGGTACAACTCGAAGAACAGGAAATGAAAAGAATTCAATGGCTGCAGCAGGTCCTATGGCTAAATATCATGAAGATCTTGTCTCAGTTTTGAAAGTTGTTTCAATTCACAGTTCAATTAATGAAACATTGTATCAAGAAGTCGATATGAAAACCATCAACTTTTATTACATGGAAGAGTTAAATGATCCGAGAGTTAGCAAAGTCGATGAAGAATTAACACAAATTCTTCGTCGCGCTGTTAATTATTGTCAAGATATTAGCGGAGTCGCTTGTAAAAAAGCTAAATTTCACGGATTGGAATACAGTTACAAATTATGGCGGTATTGGATGACGAAGGAACCTTATCAATTTGAAGATGAGTTGGGCAATCGAGAAAGAACCGTTAATCTTTGGAAAGAATTGCCTAAAAAACTAATAGGAAAAAGTGAATTCACGCTTGCGGCTATTTACAAATTAATTGATCATAAATTACCACAGGAAAATTCAATTTGGGCCGAAAAATTAACTGAAAAACTTAAAACGGAATTTAACGTAAGAATAATAAATTATTATTATTATTATTACTACAATTCTTACCAACATAACTAACTGAAATTTTCTCTCTTTTTTTCCAGAACATTCTAGACAACAATGGAGTTCTCCTATGTCCGAGTAGTCCGACTCCCGCTCCTTATCATTATACGCCATTTTTACGTCCGTTTAATTTCACATATTGGGCTCTCTTTAACATTTTCAAGTTCCCGGTAACTCAAGTTCCCTTGGGACTCAACAAAGAGGGATTGCCGATAGGAATTCAAGTGGTAGCAGCCCTTAATAATGATAAAATTTGTTTGGAAGTAGCTAAACATTTACAAAATGGTTTTGGAGGTTGGGTACCTCCATTCGAAGTGAAATAATCACGATGAAATCACAACGATATTAAAAAAATTTATTTTTTATATTTATATATATATATAAAAAAAAAAAATTATTATTAATTTTAAAATGAATGTTGAAATTTTTTTTACTAAGTATATATATATCAGTATTTTTATCCATCAAATAGTATATTAGTTACAAAAAAGTGTTCAAATCCTATCCTTTACTTTCCTGCACTTTTAAATTATTATGATAAAACCTTTTGAGGTATGTTAAAAGTAAATCGAACTTTAACAAAAAGTTATTTTCGAAGCATCACATAAAAATTAGCATTGATTTATTGAATCGACCTTATCAGAAAAAACGATAAGAAATGGCTAAAAGTTCAGATAAACATTTACTTACCTTTAAACAATTTATGACAAAGGTCCAAAAGCAGCATATTCGACACATCTCGATGGATCAGTAGGAAAAAATTGTTGACATTTTGTCATTAATCTTTTTAATGCCTGTATATACTTTCTTTGCGTTTCATCATTAAGAACATGAGCGACATTTTTTGAGAAAATTTTTTCTCTACCAGTACGAGCATGAATTCCGACCATAGTTACACCGATTGGCCAAGGTGCATTACCTATAGCCATTTGCAAATAAGAATCATTTGCCTAAAATGAAAAAAGACATTAAATTTAATAATTTTTTTATTTGAAAAAAAAAAAAAAAAAACAAAAACATATCTGTCAATGTAAATTACCTTAATATAATTTCTGTCGAGTAGAAATGCAATAATTTCTGTTAAACTATCCGATATATCTTCTGGTAATGAATTATTTTTTAATTTTCTAAGCAATGGTTTTAAATATATTTGAGTTTGAGTGAATGTAGCACTTGCTAATTTTCCTTTTGTAGTTTGCTTTTCCCTAGGATTTCTATTATTTAATTGATTTCCCCACATTTTTAATAAAAACTTGTTGAAAAATAAAAGAAAAATTTTAGCATATTAAAAAATAAATTTTTATCAATACATGTGTATTTTAACTCACCTGTAAGAATTGATAAATAACTTGTAAATCTAAATCTCTACTTCCTTTTCCTAATTCAACTGCTTTGCTTTTAATTTCTTCATATGTAACTCCATCATCCTGTACTTGAACATCTAAATTAGATTTTCCATCTTTCTGTTGTTGTGAAGCAATAATTTCATCGAGAAAAGCTTGATCGACTTTTTCTAAAGCCTCTTGAAAATCATTTCTAAAACCTTTATCTACTTCAGGTTCTAAAATTTCACACTTTCTTAACCTGTGAAAAGATTCTAATTCTGTTTCAGCAAAAAGAAGAATTGGTTCTCCTCTTTCTCTTAATCGCCGAATAACTTCCTTTCTAGGAAGTGTTACATGGTCAGCTCCATCTTCTGGTTTTGGAGAATTAGTTTCACGTAAATTTTCAAAACCGTCGGGTTTAGGTTTTTCCGACGCAAATCTCTCTAAATATTCAGCATTTTCTTTCGCGATTAATTCTCCTCTTTTGAAATATTTCTTTGCGGGTTCCTGTGAACAAACAAACATAAGATTTAATTTTATAAAATGATACAATAATTGTTATTACGTTTCATACTTTGACAAAATCTAAAAAAATTACTATTTATTTTACCAAAACTTTTTTTTCTTCAAGTTGTCTTTTTTTCTTAGCAATTTCTGCTTTCAATATGTCCATTTTTTAAAAATATAATTATTCATAATATTTTCGTCAACCATTTTGGTTTTTTTTTTTTTTTATCAGGGGTACAACCTTACCACTTAACCAAAGCAGTTTAAGTTTTTTAATATCATATTACATAATATTTATAATTATTTCATAAAAATATAATATATTTAAAATTACAATTTTTTTTTTAAAATGAATTATTATATTATAATTTTTCAAAATTATTAAATAAATTTTCATAAAATAATGTTGGTCAAAAGGTCTGCGCCTTCTTGGAATGAGCACCAACATAATTTCGGAACATAAGGACGCTTTAGAGGTTCACACATAAAATTCGTTTATTTTTGTAAATGATCTAATACTCAAAAAAACGTGTACTATGCCTGCTCGGCCAAGAGTTATTAGATCGAGAACACATTCTAGTTCTATTAGAAGGTAAATTATACACATTTTATTTGTTTGTGCATTAAAAAATTGTTAAAAAATCCAATACATATATCCGTCTTTCAATGTTACTTTATTACTTATACATTAAAATCAAAAACCGAAATTAATTAGTATTTTATCGCGTTCGGACTATTTATTTAATAATTATAAGTATTATTTACTTTTAATTAAATATTAAGCAAGTTCTCATGCGTGGGTTTTTTTAATTTTATGAATACTATTGGCAAAATTTAAAACGCACAGTATAATTCTTACAGAGCAAGTTTTATACAATTTGAACCCCTGCAATTACTTTTTACCGTTAATGAATTCGTTAAACGCGTGGAATATTTAAAATTTGTTTAAAATGCTTTAAATTTTTATACTTTTTTTACATTATTTACTCGTATATTATAAATAGGTCATCTCAACCTCTTAGAAGGCATACTCCTTCATTTAGAGGTTCTACAAAAAGAAAGTTATCACTTTCTCCAAAAAGAATTATTTCCAGAAAAAATAAATTAGGCTATAGGACATCTTCTAATCAGTTAAGGAGTCATAGCAGAAATAGGTTTGTTTCGTTTAATTTCTTAATTCATCTTATTAATATATCACAATGGGTTTAAGACATAAAATTTTTACACATAATTATTTATTTTAGAAGTAAATCGCCAAGGTCAGACCAAAATTTTTTACTCAAGCAAAAAGATAGCAGAAGTGATTTATATAGGAAGTCATCACCCAGAGAAAAGCCAAAGTAAACAATTATTAGAAATTCAAATAATTATTTTTTTTTTTTTACATTTGTTGTAATCGAGTTATTTTTTAGAAGTCATCATTTAGAAAAAAAACTAGATGAAAGGTCTTTCATTGAAACATCACAAAAATCATTTAAAAATTACAATGTTGAAGATTTAAGAAAATTAACATTTAGAATTGATAGCAATGTATTAGATGGAAATCAAAAAATAAATCGTAATATTATTAATCCGGAAGATGTAACAATCTCGAGGAGACCAGGTAAAAAAAATTAAAAATAATTCAATAATTTTTTCCTTTTTTTCGAGTTTAACAAAAAAAAAAAAGAAAAAAAAAAAAGAAAATATATATAAAAGCCTTTTAATTATTCATTATTATTTTTAAGGTTAAATGGCAGTTTAAATTTTCAGAGTTTTTTTTTTTTTTCTAGCACAATTATAATGACGACATTTTTTTTTTTTTTTTAAATGTCGTTAATTTTAATTTAAATTAAAATGAAACAAAATACAGGTTTTTTTTTTTTTTTTTTTAATAATTTGAAGTATTTTAAAAGCATGTGCTAGAATAAAAATTAAATTTTTTTTAAATTTCTTTCTAAACTTTTTAGGATAGTAAAACCTTTTTTGACTTGTGAGTGCTCGATTTCATTCCGTTTCGATTGAAATCGAACAAATATTTTCATACAAGCCATCCAGAGAAACATTTTATGAAATTTTTAACTTGTTAGCACTCACAATTGTATAAAAAAATTCTTCTTCTTATTTCTTTTTTTTTATTATTATTATTATTATTATTATGAAAATCATAAAAGTTTACAAATCATAAAATATGAAAATCGTTTCTTTTTTAGATTCTACAACTTGATATAATCGATCAGATTTTATTATTATTATTATTTTATTTTTTTTTTGGTATTTTCTCCAGCCTTATTTTGTGAAAACAAAAAGAAAAACATTTTTTTCTTTCTGACTATATTTACAAAAGTTTTTTTTTTTTTTTTTTCGGTGTAATTTTTTCTTAATTTATTTCTTTCCGTTGAAAAAAAGAAAAATCTAGAAAAATTATTATTATTATTAAAATAATTAATTCTTGTTTTTTTTTACTAAATTTAGTTAATTTTTATTTCTTGTTGGTGATTTAATAAGAAAAAAAAAAGGAAAAAAAGTGTGAAAAGATAAAAGTTATTTATTTAATTAGTAATATATACATAGTTTTCTTTCTTTACTGTTGAAGAATTTTCCAGAAAAAAAAAAAAAATTCAAAAGTTGAGTGACAAGAATTTTGATTGATTTTTATGATAATGAAGAGAGAGGGAGACAATTGGCATTCAAATTTTCAAAAGGTAAGATTTAAAAATTTTTTTTTTTTTTTTTTTTTTTTTTTACTTTCCCCCCAACCATAAAAGCTTAATTTATTATTATTATTTCTGTATTAATATTTAATTAAAATTTTTTATTGTTTGTGTGTTTATGCCGTGAATTTTGTCAAAAAAAAAAAAAAAAAACGTGAAAAAATTTGATTATTTGAAAATAATGATAATAATAAGTATTATTTATTTATTTATTTATTTATTTAATTTTTTTTTTTTTCTATTTCAGAAATCGCTATTTTTAATTATTATTATTATTATTTTTTAAAAAATTTATTGATTATTTAAATTAAAATGGCGAAGAAAATTTTTATTTTTAAAAATTTAATTTAATTTAATTAATTAATTAATTTTTTACCAACTTTTTTTTTATTTTTTATTTTTTAAATTAATTAAAAATTTATTTTTATACATTTTTAATTTAATTAATATGAGAAACAAACAACAAGAGGATAAAAAGAATGGATAAAACAAAATAAACAGGATGAAAGGAAAAAAGAAGAGGAAGAATTGAAGAGGAAAAAAAAAAGTAGGAAAATGAATGATAGGAACAAACAAACAAACAAACAAAATGAACAGGAGAGATAAAATGGAAAAAAGGAAGGAAACAATCAGTAGAAGGGGAAAAGGGAAGGGAAGGAAACAAACAGGATAAGGAGTAAAAGGAAGGGAAGGAAACAAACAGGATAAGGAGTAAAAGGAAGGGAAGGAAACAAACAGGATAAGGAAAAAAGAAAAAAAAGGAAGAACACAAACGGGATAAGGAGAAAATGGATGGGAAGGGAACAAAGAAACAAACATATTTAGGATAAATTTTCCAATCGTTGGGAAAAAGGAAAACAAAAATGAAAATCGTGAAAATTTTTAATTAAAAGTATTCAAATAATTAAATTACGAAAAGGAGAAAAAGGAACCTTTGGAAAAAATGATCCAGAAAATTTCTTTCTTTTTTTTTTTTATCAAAAGGATTTTGTGGATTTGAATGAGACGGACTGTTGGAAAAGCGGGATTTGAAAGGGTTTCAAATTATGGCGGAAATGATTCGAATTAAATTGTGAATGTACAAAAGAAAATTTTTTTTCTTTTTTTTTTTTTTTTTCTCTCTCGGTTCATCATGCGGGAAATGATTGATTGTTTTTCTACAAGACTGATTCGATTGGATTTTATATTTTTGGGTTCATTGCCTTCCTATAAATAATAATAATAATAAAGAAAGAAAGAAAGGAAGAGAGAAAGAAGAATTTAGTAAGGGAAATACTAAGGACATTCATTTTTTTTTTTTCCCGGATTTGTCAATATAGGAAGGAAATTATGGATCGTTAATGATCATCATTTTTAGTTTTTAACTGGAAAATTAAATTCAAGTCTTATCATTTATCACATTGTCAGCGTGGGAAAATTTTAAAAGGATTAAATAAAATGTCGGCTTCGACTTAAAGAACCAAGACATGTATAAATATTTCAAAATTTTAAATTATTTTTGTATTTTCTACAATAAATTCCCGAAGGATTAGAAATCTCAAAAGATTTTAAACTTCAGATGAAATAAGAAAAACAAAAACCAACACAAATCGTGGATTTCAACGGTTTTGGGAGGAAACGGAACCGGATGTTACTCATGTTCAAACGGAGAAAAAAAAAAAAAGGATTTTTTATTCTTGCAACCTTTGCACAATGAAAAATGGGATTCATCTTTTAATTTAAAAAAAAAAAAATTTGTTTGCTTTTCCAATGCGACGGAAAACTACACTAAAATCCAAAAATTAAATCAAAGGAAAAAAAAAATAAAATTTTCCAATTTCAAAAACGACGTGAGGGACGATTTCAATTATTTTAAAGTGTTTTATAGTCATTATTATTAATTAAAATTTTCTTTTGTTTTTTGTATAAATAACGGAACGAAAGTTGTCATCATCATCATCATCATCATTATTCTGGCAAGGATAGGAAAGAAAACAAAGGAAAACCTCAACGGAAGTCGCGACGGATTTTATTAAATTATCGTTTGGGATAAAAAAAAACTTGTCAAATTCATAGCTTTTGCAACTATGGAACGGAAAAATCAAAACAGGAGGAAAATTTTTCCGGGAAAAACAGGAAAAAGTTTAGTTGGATAATTCTATCAAAAAGAGAGAGAGAGAGAGAGAGAGAAAACTTTTGAAATTATTATTTTTTTCTTTTTTTTTTTTTTAAATTTTATTTTAATAATAATTAAATTAGTTTTTTTCTTTTTTTTCTTTTTTTTTTTTTTTTAAATTTAAAATTTGCTAAATAATTTTTCTACTATTAAAAATGTCATAACGAATGGTAATCAATCAATCAATCAATCAATCAATCAATCATGGACGACCGTTTTTCAAAAGGAATCGTCTGATATTCTTTTCTACATTTTTTAATTTTTTATTATTTTATTATTATTAATATTTTTTTTTTTCAAACGGAAACGATAATAAATTTCGCAAAATCAACGGAAAAACAAAAAAAGTTCAGAAAGAAAAAAATTTTAAAAATAAGGTTGGAAATGGAAAATGCAGAAAAATTTTCTTTTTTTTTTTTTTTAATTTTCTTAATTTTTTTTACTTTATCGTTTTTTATTTCAAAAAAAAAAAAAAAAAAAAAAAAAAAGTTGAATAAAATTAAAATAAAATTCCGTAAAGTTTAATAGAGGAGGAGGAATAGGAGGAGTAGGAGGTGGAGGAGGTGGAGTACCACAACAACAACAACAAGTACAAGATTCATACGGGAATTCATACGGAAACGGAAGACAAACATCGAGATCATCATCATCATCAATGAATCAATTTTGTTGGCGGCCTTCATCATCCAATTGTTCGTATGGAATAAATGATAAATATGGGAATCCAGGAGGATATCACAGTTAGTATACATATATATGTCATTTAGGAAATCTATAATTTGTCCGGGGAGAGAAGGAGAAGGAGGGGGGGAGGGGGAGAGAGAGAGAAAGAGGGAGATATCGAAAGGAAATCTCTTTACCGTTGACAATATTTTAATTAATTTGTTTTTTATTTTTTAAATTTGTTTAATATCAGTTATCAGTTCAGTTTTTTGTTTTTATAAAATTTTTTTTTGTTTAAAAAATGAACTTAAAAGTTTTGTGAAATTTTGTGTAGTAGGGAAACATAGAAAAAAAAAAGCATTTTGTGGGATTTTTAATTTACAACAGGAAGGATGAGAAAAGAAGAGAAAAAGGGGAGGAGGAAAAATGTAGGAAATGAAAAAGGAATCGAAAAAACATGAAGAAGGGATTTTAAGGGAGATGGGAAATAAAGAATTCACACCGGGAGTTTTATTCAAAATGGAGGAAAGTGGAGGAAGAGGATGAGGATGAAGATGAGTAGTAGGAGGAGGATGAAGATGAAGATGAAGATGAGGAGAAAGAGAAGGATGATGAGCATGAGGAGGAGGATGATGAGGATGATGAGCTTGAGGAGGAGAATGAGGATGATGAGCATGAGGAGAAGGAAGAGGAGGAGAATGAGGATGAGGATGAGGAGGAGGATGAGCACGAGGATGAGAGGGAGGATGAGGAGGAGGATGAGCACGAGGATGAGAAGGAGGAGGAGGATGAGGATGTAAAAGAAAAGAAAAGACACAAAATTCGATCAACACATGAATTATTTTTAGTAACTCAACTTGAACAACAACAACAACAAGAAACAATTCAACGGTTTTGAAACCCAACCAATCAATCAGTCTTGATTTGATAGAAAACAAAACATTTCCTCTCTTTTTGTCTTTCGCCACGGAAAAAAAAAAAAACAAGAAAAAAAAGTTTATTTAAAGAAATTTCCATTTTTTTTTTTAAATTTTTTTTATTAGTTCGTTGACACACAAACGAACGACTTTTGAAAATTTTCAATCAACGTTTACAAGAAAAAACAGAAATTTTGTTATTATCATTATTTTTATTTTTTATTTTTTTTTATTAAGTTGGCAACATTTTAAAGGAAGAAAAAATGTTATCATCATCATGATCGTTTCTCGCCCACATTTTTTTTTTTTTGAAGAAAAGACGTAGAAGAAAACGAAAAGGTCGACGAGGAGGAATAAAAAAAAAAAAAATTGTTTGATTGTTTTTAAATTAATTGATTGTTCGAAAAATATTGTCGAAAGATGAAGAAGAAAGATTTTTTTTGTCGCACTTTTGCGAAATTTTCGCCAAAACGACAGGATACGGATATGTATACACTTCATCAAGACCTCAAGAATTTGTTGTCAAAACATGTTTTTAGTTTTCTTTCAAAAACAACAACAACAACCAGGATGACGACTAGGACGACAACGACAATGGTTACGTTCTAACCAAGGAGTTGATGATCAAAAACGACAAAATGGAGGGAGGAGAGAGAAAGAAAGAAAGAGAGAGACACAAACAATAAAAAAATGGAAATTTTTTCAACGGTTTTTTCGTATTCGATTTTTCCGACTTTGGATTGATTTGAATTTGGAAAATTATAAATAATTACGGGAAAATAGAAAAAAGAAGAAAAAATAAAATGAAATGAATTACCTTTTCGCCGTATTTCGCCGTTTTTTGCCGTTTTTCGCCGTTCGCACAAGTGGATTTTCTCGAATTTGATGCGAGTCGAAGACTTGGAAGCCATTTTATCGAAGGAATTTACGAGGATGACGTAATCACATCCTAAAAAGAAAAAAACAAATGAATAAAATTCCGTTAAATTTCGAAAAATGACGTCACGGACACGTAACATCCGGTTTTTTTTAAAAGTTAATCGAATATCATTCGAAATGATTCAAATAACCGAAATAACCGTTAAAAAGGAGGAGGAGGAGGAGGAGTAGGGGGTTGGGTGTTTGTGTCTGTGAGTTTGTTTACTTTTGTTACTCGTGCCACGTCTTTCCGTTGATTCGTTCGTTCGTTACCGCGCGACGGCCGCCATTTTTTTTTTTTTTTTCATTGTTGTCGTTTCTCACCTGGAACGAAAGTTTCCAGTTGGTAAAATTTCTTGTTTGTTAATTTTTGATTTGATTTATATTCCAGGGAATCCTTTTTTCTCCCCCCTCCCCTCTTAATTCTTTCTTCAAGGTTTCCTTTTGTAAGGTAAGAGGAAGAAGGAGAATCAGCGTCGTTGTTTCCATCTTGTTTCTTGTCTTTCCATTTTGTTTTTTCAATCTATTCATACGACATCTTGTTACGTCTATAATTTTTCTTCTTCTTCTTTCACCGGACGGTCGAAAATCTTTTTTCTCTCCTTCTTTCTCCAGTTTCTTTTTCCAGCAGTCGTCGTTTTTATTTTTTTAAACTTTCTTGTTGAAATTGTTTTTTCTTCTCGATCGAATATTTCGTAAAAAAAAAAAAATATTAAAAATTCTTGACGGTTTCTTTTGTTTGTTTGTTTGTTTGTTTGTTTGTCTGTTTGTCTCTGTTGTTTTTGTATAATTTAAGTTTTTGAATTGATTTAGGTGAAGGAGCAGCACCGATATTTGATCGTCCGGATATTATTGTTAACACGTCAAAATATGAGGATGAACAAAATTCTAGTTCGTTTTCCCGTTCAGGTACGTTCGCTACAATAATAATAATAATAATAATAATAACTGGACTTTAGGTATCGTGGAAAAAAAAAAGGAAAAAATTGATTTTTTTGATTTTGTTTCAGGGAGGCCAGAATACGAAGGACGAAGTCTTAGCTACGATAGAACCGGAGATTATCACGTTAAAAAACACGAAACGTACAACAGCAGAGGAGAAGATAGGGAAAGAGATCATCGCGTTAGGGATAGGAGTTTAGATCGGGATAGGGATAGAGAGAGAATGAGAGATAGAGAAAGGGATAGTAGGAGTAGTAGGAACAGGGGTGGTAGGGAGAGAGAGAGAGATAGAGGAAGAGATCGGGATAGAGACGGAGAAAGGAGGAGTAGAGGTCGGGATAGGATTAGAGGAGGAGGAGGAGGAGGAGACATGGAACGAGAAAGAACATCGAGGGACGTGAACAGAGAGAGAGGGATGAGAAATAACAGGAGCAGAATGAGAATGGATCCGGATAATTTTAGAAATACTTCGAGAGATAGTTACAGGGAAAGAACGAGAGATAGCGAAGAAGATAGATATAGAGAAAAGAGTAGATCACGGCAGAGGATGTCGAACAGCAACGCTCACAGTAATAAATTTACACCGACTGAAACTAGCGTGCAAGATTCGAGCAGACGATATTCGGATCCGACGGCGAGTTATTTCAATTCGGGGCCACGATACGAAGTTAGTTACACGATAAACCGACGCGGCGGCGGTGGCGGTTCCGGTGACATCGAGTCTAATTATTTGACGTCACATTTTCAGGTCGAACCCCGTGGTGAAAATTTTTCAAATTATTTCAACAGCAACAACAGGCGAAACAATGGCGGCAACCACAGCGCTCGGGGCCGAGGTAACCTTGTTCGTCCGATAATGAATCGTCCTTTTTTACATCATACGGAATTCGGAACGATGAGGCCCGTGCCGCCGGGAGCGTTTCGGGGACCGGCTCCCATGGGCCCGAGATTAGCTGTCCCTGGAAGGCGGGTACTTCCACGTAAGTCATATCAAACCACGTTTCCGATGAAGCATTATTGATAAATTTTCTCTTTTCCCACCCCCACCCCCCACCTATTTTTTGTAAATTTTTAAGTTTAATCGATTACCATTATTATTATTATTATTATAATAGTAGTAGTAGTAAAACGATTACAACGCTTGAATTAGGCTTCTTATTTTTTTTTTTTTTTTTTAATGCCCGTAAGTAACGAGAAAAAAAAAAAAAAGCAAATGTGCGTGTGTGTGTGTATTTTAGGAATGTTTCCACCGGTAATACAAGTAATAACACCGTTAAGACCTCCTGGTATACCATTTCTCTAAAAGGTAATAATAATAATAATAATAATAAATCCTCCTATCAAGTCTCTCTCACACACACTCTCTCTCTCTCTCTTTTTTTGTTTTTCTCTATCACTATCTCTCTCTCTCTCTTTAGTATTCGCGAGCGCGCGCGCGTGTGTGCATGCGTGCGTGCACACCTCTAAAGCCGGATGATGATGATAATAATAATAAATGACGTTTTTTTTTTTTTTAATATTACTATTATTATTATTATTATTATTATTAATATTATTAGTATTATTATTATAATTTGTCAATTATAAGTGAATACAAATGTATGTAAATAAAATAAAATAATTAAATAGAGAAAAAAAAAGCAGTTGTAAATTATTATCGATTGATCGATCGATGGATCGATATATCGATATATATATATATCGATCCTTGTCATTCTTCATCGAGTTCTTTACTTAGGGATAAAATTTTTTTTTCAAAATCTTGAGGATTTAAATCGAATTTTAATATTTCCATGACTTGTTTTAATATGTTTAAAGCATTTTGAAGATTCGACTGGAAAAAAATAAAAAAAATAAAATAAATTTTGTTTGTTTGTTTGTTTGTTTTTTTGTTTGTTTTTTTGGAATTAAATAAAAAATAAAAATGTCTCTCACCTGAGCTTCTTGTTTTGTTATTTTATCATTATTATATTGTCGTTTTGTTTGTACGACAATTGACGATTGTAATTCGTTTAAAATTTCACCTCTTATATTTGAATATTCCGGATCGACGACATCGACAAAATCTAATAATTCTTGACAATAAATTATTTTCCTATCTAATAAATCATCCGATATATCTTTAAACAAACAAACAAATTTTAATTTAATGTCTCCACATTTTAAAAAAATCGATTTTAAAAAAGAAAAAAATTACTCACCTGAATAAGTATAACCGTCGGTGTTACCAATCAAACGTATCAACGCATGTTTAACTTGTACCACGTGATAATTATTTGAATGTAAAACGCCATTTTCATAAACGCCATATTTGATTAAAAATTCTTCTAAACCCGTAACGGTTTTAACATTCGATTTCGTTAATTCATTTTTAAGATTATCGTTACCCATTTTTATTTGTTTATGCGACATTTCCCGTTGACAATTCATACATTTCCAAACGGAATTCGAATTTAACGGATCGACCGGTATGACGTAACAATTTTCAACGGAATTTTTATCTGACGTCATAGTGCATTTAGAACAACGAATGGCGCCTGCGTACGTGCCCAATTCGCTAGGATCCGAACATCTTTCGCAAACGCAATCGAAACATTTGATCGTTTTAAGGTGTTCCCGTCGGGAAAGCGTGTTCCAAAATGTTTGAGTGTATGTTGCCGTTATTAATTCTCCAGATTTAATATCTCTCGTCGCTGTGACGACGATCGTCATATCGGGTTGTAAAAAACTATGTTTCGTGTTCGGTTTGCAATCGTGCGACAACATGGACGACACGTTATACAATCCTCTTAACTTGACGTTATTTTTCACGATTTCGAACGCGTTCGTATCCAATATACCCGTTATAGTGAGTATTTCTTTTTCATCCACGTCGTCCATTTTTAATCTTTCCCTAATGAAATCCGCCACGTTTTTTTTATATAAATCAAACAAAGGTTTGTTTATTCTATCATCGTAATGAGATTCCAAATTCATTATTTTCTTATATTTCTCCGAATTTTTTTTTCCTTTTAGTAAAATGCAACGGAGTGGAACGATTGGAAAATAAAAAATTTCCTTACCGCCGCCATTATTATCATCATTATTCTTCTTCTTTTTCGAATCCATTTTGATGCGATAATTCGATTTCATCATTTGATAACATTCGTCGACGTGATTATCCGATACTTGACATTGTGGAGAACACAATGGAAAACCGCAACCGTCGCATTCGTGATAGTTGTCCATGTTGCAAACGTTGTGACAACCCAAACAAACAGGTACCGTTACGGTTTTAGGTCCGACGATCAATGGAGATTCGTAAAATATAACATCACCTTTTGATATGTTTTCGGATGCTATCAAATATCTTCCCAAACGATCGTTTTGTTCCAATTTGTAAACCGCCCTACAGCATCCCTTATGCTCTTTCATCCAGTGTAACTTCTGATGTTCTTTGCTGCAGTAAAACAAACGTTTACATCCCCCACAAATGGATGATGATGGTTGTCCACAAACTGCACACGATCCTGGCATGTTCTGGCTATAATTTTATCATCATTATCAAAAACGGTTAATTTTAATGTAAATTTTTATCATAACAAACAAACAAACAAACAAACAAACAAATCCTTACCTCTATCGTGTGTAAAAAAAATTTTTTTTTGATTGATTGTAGGTGTTAATCGTCGTTCTCATATATTTTTACATTGGATTCCTCCTCCTCTTCTTCTTCCAAAAATACATTTGGGATTGTTGCCAAATTTACAAAAAAAAAAAAAAAAAAATTTCTTTTTATTCGTTTTTACATTTTTCTCTTCTGCTGCTGTTGTTGTTGTTGCTACTACTGTTTCTCATCCTTGTATTATTTTCATTTTATAAAAGTTTGTTTTGTTTTTATGCAAACTGTGAATTTGAAACGAAGTAAAATATTATCATCATGTCTACCGTCGGTGAAGAAATTGATAAATTATTAGAAAAATGTAAAATTTGTGACGTGCAAACAACGAATAAATGCACTTCTTGTAAAAAAGTAAATTATTGTTGTAAAGAACATCAAAAAGAAGATTGGAAAAATCATAAAATACAATGCAGACCTTTTCAGGTATGTAAAACCTTTTTTCTCTAAATTCGAATCGTTTCCTGTTGCTATTCGCGTTTGTTGTATTTTATAACACGTGGATTAACTTCCGGTCACGTTTTGTTAATTGTTACAGATGAAATCTTCGTTGGAACTCGGACGTTTTCTAGAGGCAACGAGACGAATCAACGCGGGTGAAATTTTATTTACCGAATATCCGATTGTTTTCGGACCGCGTCCGGAGGAAATCGTTTGTTTGGGTTGTTATAAAACAGAACCGGAAGAAAAATGTCCGAAATGTTTATGGCCGGCATGTTCATCATCGTGTCCAGGACTCACGAATCCCGATCATCACGGATCCGAATGTTTCCTCCTACGACTTTACACTCGTAACAATCAACAACAATCATACGTAACGGATGATTATTTTAGGTTAGACATTTTTTTTTTTTTTTTTTTTTACAAAATGTCTTCCTTACCTCATGTAATGAATTTTTTTCAGATTTGACGTCATATTTCCTCTACGTTGTTTATTACTCCAGAAAAAAAATCCAAACGGTTGGAAAATCATAACGGGAATGGAAAGTCACATGAAAAAAAGAGGACCCAATACTGAAATCTATAAACAAACGAATGAAAAAATCGTTAAATATTTAAACGATAATTTTTTTAAATTTTTAAATGATTCCGGCAATCGAGAACCGGATACGGAAATGATATTACTACCTGATGAGAGAACGCCGGAAATCCTACATAAAATCTGCGGTATTATTGATGTCAATTCGTTGGAAATTCAATCTCCGAAAGGTGGAACGTTGAACGCATTGTACGAAACGGCTTTTCTCATGGAACACAATTGTTTACCTAACACGAGACACATTTTTCAACCTTCTAGAAGGTTTAAAATAAAAGTTTTTGCCAATAACGATATACAACCGTGAGTGTTTGTCACTTGTTTTCACACCAAAACAAACAAATTTCATCCGAATGACGTAGTCTTTGTATACTTTCAGTGGTAATCACATCAGCACCATGTACACCCACGCACTTTGGGGCACTCAACAGAGACAAGATCATCTGAGATCGACGAAACATTTTATATGCAGGTGTCGAAGGTGCGGAGATCCCTCGGAAATGGGTACGAATTTAAGCGGTTTAAAATGTTTAGCACCGACGGTTGATCAAAAAATATGCGGCGGCACGCAACTACCCATGGCTCCTTTGGATTCGATAACCGTTTGGCAATGCGATAAATGTCCGACGTCATTAACATCCGGTCAGGTATCGGATTTTGTTAACATGATCGGTGACGAAGTCGATAGAATACTAAACAAACAACCTAAAATAGAAAGTCTCGAAACGCTGTTGAGCAAATTGAAAAAATTATTACATAAAAATCATTATCATTGTTATTCCGTTATGCATTCTTTGGTACAATTGTACGGACGTCAACCCGGATATTTACCTCATCAGATGAACGATTTGATGCTTGAAAAAAAAATCGGTGAGTTTACACTGAAAAACATCATCATTATTATTATTACTACTATATTAATTATTATTATTATTATTATTATTGTAAATTAGGCATGTGCAAACAACTTTTGGATATAACGTCAGCCATCGATCCGACGACGTCGAGATTAGCTTTATACAGTTCCGTCGTGGAACAAGAATACGCATCCGCCATATTGATTTTAGCCGAGAGAAAATTTTGGAAGGATCACGAACTCGTTGAAAAATTAAAAGACGCAAAAAAATTTTTAATACACGGTTTGAAATCTTTAGAACCGGAAGGTGAAGATTCTCAGGGTTTTAAATTTGTTCCGATAATAACGAAAACGTTACACGAACTCGAAACATTTTCCGCGAAATCAAACGTTTTTCTATAAAAAAAAAAAAAAATCCGCCATTTTGTTTTTTTGTTTTAAATTAACACACGTCACAATGTAAAATAAATAAAATAAAATTTTATGATTGACACCGATGCAAAATAATAATATTAATAATAAAAAAAAGGCGTAAAAATTTTTATTTTTTATGCGTTTGCGTTTGTCGATGACGTCACGAAATTATTTTTAAAATTTTTAAGTTTTATTTTTTTAAAACCGTTAGAAAAATTTGATTTTTTTAAATTCATCGCATGATTTAAAAATGAATAAATAAACGGATTTATCGTGGTGTTAGACAGAGAAAGCGCGCTTAGTAAATATTTGACGATCCACCAAAAATTTCCGGTTAATCGATACCACGGAAGTGTCGTCACAACGATAAATATCCATTGGGGTAGCCTGCAAATGATGAACGTTGCCAATATGATGAGAATTATCGTGAATATCCTGTTGTTTTTATTATTATTATTATTTTGTGGAGATTTTCTTGCGTTCGAACGTGGATTCCCATGCGAAATATCCGTTTCCGTGTGAAAATCCGATGTCGAAGCGGATACGTTTTGTCGTTTGTTTTTCTTTTTCTTTTTCAACCACATCATTCGAGCAATGGCGACGTAAACGACGACGAAAGCAACAAGAAGCGGAAGAAAAATTAAACTGAACAAAGCGAAAAAATAATAATTGCTTATCGTTTGATTTCCGACGCAAAGATAAGAATAAAAATATGTTTTCTCATCGATATTGATAAAACAAGCCGGGATTTCGTTGTAACCGAGATATGTAGGTACGGTCGTACCTGAAAATAAAAAAAAAAAAAACAATTTTATTCGTTTCTCGAAGACGTCATTTCCGTTTCCTATGATACTACTACCACTTACCGCCGGCTACCAACCAAAAACAAGCAACTATAATAAAAGCTTCCGTATATTTCGGATTGAATTTTTTCGAAAGAAGAACAACTCCCTGATACCTATCGATTGCTATACACGTCAGAATGAGAGATGATAATAATGCTGACATTGTCGTGACGTATGGCGTCCAACTACACATGAAACCTCCGAAATTCTATTTAAAAAAAAAAAAAAAAAAAAACAAAATAATAATAATAATAATTTTATTTTATTAGGATTATATTAACGGTTTAATTAAACCGAACTGATAAGAGAAAAATTTATTACGATTGATAATAAATAAATGATAAAAAAAAAAAAAACAACCTCGTTACCTTTAATCCTTTGGGTCTGTTTTGTTGTTCGAATGGTATAGGGAAAGAGGAAGGGAAGGAAGGAGGGAAACAGAAAGGGAAGGAGAAAAAGAAAGAAGGGAAGAAGGGAAAGAGGAAGAAGAGAAAAAAAGAAGGGAAGAAGGGAAAGAGGAAGAAGAGAAAAAAAGAAGGGAAGAAGGGAAAGAGGAAGAAGAGAAAAAAAGAAGGGAAGGAGGGAAAGAGGAAGAAGAGAAAAAAAGAAGGGAAGGAGGGAAAGAGGAAGAAGAGAAAGAAGGAAGGAGGAAAGAGGAAAAGAGGAAGGAGAGAAAGAAGGAGGGAAAGAGGAAGGAAGGAAGTAGGAAAAGGAGGAGGGAAGGAGGGAAAGAGGAAGAAGAGAAAGAAGGAAGGAGGAAAGAGGAAAAGAGGAAGGAGAGAAAGAAGGAGGGAAAGAGGAAGGAAGGAAGTAGGAAAAGGAGGAGGGAAGGAGGGAAAGAGGAAGAAGAGAAAGAAGGAAGGAGAGAAAGAAGGAAGGGAAGGAAGGAGAGAAAGAAGGAAGAAAAGGAAGGAGAAAAAAGGAAGAAAGGAGGGAAAGAAGGGGGGAGGAGGAAGAGAAAGAAATGAGAGAAAGAGGTGGGGAATGAGGAAAAGAAGGGAAAGAGAGAAGGAAGAAAGGAAAGGTAGGAAAGAAGGAATGAAGGAGGAAAAGAAGGAAGGTGGGAAGAGGAAGGGAAGGAGGGAAAGAAGGAGGGAAAGAGGAAGGGAAGGAAAGAGGAAAGGAAGGGAGGTAAGGAGAGAGAAAGATAGGGAATTCAGGTACGAATCATCGGAAAATAAGAAAACCATATTTACCCAAGCAACAGTATCCTGTATGAAATTATTTATAGAATTCAAACCGACGAATATCGCCATTATCATATCTCCCAAACATTGTGATAAAACGGAAAATTTATAAAGAATTTGAAGTTCCCTAAAAATAAAAAAAATAAAAACAACCATTTTCAAAAAAAAACGCGGGAAAATCAAATTTTTTAAATAATAATTATTTCAATATACCTTTTGGCGACGGTGAAAATTCCCAGGACGTTACCGATAATCGATACGATCGATAATGAAAAAAAAATAATTCCAAAAAAAATCCTTTGATACGTCGTCAATTGATTTTTATAAAATTCTGACGTTATCAAATATCCATCGATCTGTTAATAATAATAATAATAATAATAATAATATTTTTTATCATATTTAAATCCTTTTTTTTTAATTAACTTTTCTCATAAAATTTAGTATTAATTAATTTAAATAAATAAAACTCACGTTTATGTTACTCCCATTAAAATCAATTTGTATAAAAGTTCCATTTTCGCACAATTCTTTAAAACTCATTATTATTATTATTATTATTATTTAAATTTTTTTTTTCCCTTTCGTTTGTTTCGAAAATTCCAGGATCCGTGAGAAAACAAACAAACAAACAAACAAGCAAACAAACAAAATTTTTTTTTTCGCTCCTGAAAAATTAAAAAATTCCATGAAAATCATATACTCGCACGCACCCACGCACGCACTCACGCACTTCGAACGCACCTTTTTTTTAATTAAAAAATATTACGGTGATAACGAAAAAAAAAAAAAAAAATTATTGATAACGCGATATTAAAAAAAAAAAAAAAAACGTCGAGAATTTTCCTTCGAAACCTTCCTTTGAAAATTTCAAACCGAAAAAAAAAAAAAATAACAAACAACATTAATAATAATAATAATAATAAATTTATAACTTGACATATATCATCACTTCAATTAAAAATATTTACGTAACGATAATAATAATAATAATAATTTTTAATTTCTCTGTTTATTATCATTAATATTATTATTATTATTTTAAAAAATTTTATATTTTTCCGCGCACATTAAAAAAAAAAAAAAAAAAAATCACAAAAATCTTTACCTTATTTGACGCGTGAACGATATAAACGCACACCCCCAAAAAGAAATAATAATAATAATAATTAAATATTAATTGTAAACAAACGCACTCACGCACAAACGTACGCGGAAAATTAGGAAAATCGTGTATAAAAAAAAAAAAAAAAAAAAAAAAAAAACGTTACCGTTTCGTTTGAAATCTCGCGATATAATAAACGAATTTCTTTTTTTTTCCAATATGGCGGAGGTAGGCGGAGTGTGTCGGCGGGAAAACGAATGTGATGACGTATGCACCGCCCCGGAAATAGAGTCGCGATTTCTAAAAATTAAAATTTTGTTAAAACAATTTCCGGATAAACAATAAATGATGATGATGATGATGATGATGATTATTACAAACAATTTAAAATTATCATTATTATGGGATGATGATGATGATGATGATAATAATAATAATAACGAATGTAAAATTTAACGATTCAATTTATATATAAAGAAAGATGCGTGTATATGTATATATAAAATAAAATTTAAAAAAAAGCACTTTTTGTTTGTTCGTTTTGTGTGTTTTACGACTCCATTTTGTTTTTCCGTTTAAAGTATATTAATTATAATCGCAAGAATGTTTTGTGTTCACTTTTAAAAATTTATATGATAAAGTCCTTCCATTTTTCTTCTTAACCGTTACTTGTATTGTATAACTTGTTTTCGGTTTTAAGTCTCTGATTTTGTAATTTGTTATTGATTTTCTGAAAAAAAAAAAAAAAAAAAACAAATTTTTGTATATTCGGTTTGTTTGTTTGTTTATGTGTTTGTATGTGTGTCGAAAATCGAACGGGTGAGGCAGGGAGGAAGGAGGAAGAGAGAGGGAGGGGGAGGAGAAAAATTTATTTTTAATAATTTTTATGAATGAAAGCCAAAATTTTTCTCTAGAAAAAAATAATAAATAATTATAAAAAAATTTTTTTTCTTTCTGTTTGTTCGTAAAATAAATATTTCATAGAGAAAACAACCAGAACGGTGAATAATAATGATAATGATTTAATACATCTGGAAATTTTTAAATATAATACGCGAGAATCGTTTCTTTCAACGTTTTATAATAACTTTTATGAAAAAAAAAAAAATAAAAGAAAAGCAATTAAATGACGTCATAGAGTAAAAAAAACCGAAATTCATCGTGTCATTTTATCTATGAATCTTTCGCCACGTTCCGCACGCGCACGTAAACAAACAAACGAACGGTTAATAGTAATAATAATAATGATTCTTACTCTGTTTTCGTAATCATATCTTCGCAAACTCTCGAAGTCGAAGACGATGAATTTTTTTTATAGAAAAAAAATGATTTTTTCTTTGGCACTTCGTCTAAATTACACTGATAATAACCCCTGAACAAATCCGCATAATTAAATTTTCCATTTTCCCAAACTGTGACGCAATACGTGTTGACGGAAGTGTCGTAAACGGGTATCCAACCGATTGTGACGGAATTGCAAGTTTTTTGACTTTTAAATTCGTATAAATTGGGTTCTTCCGGAAGTTGAGGCAACGGATATTTTTGCGTCGGATACATCGTCATAAACACCTGTAATCAATCAATCAATCAATCATTCGTTTGTTTGTTTGTTTATTTATTTCCGTCGTACAAACAAACAAACAAACAAATATTATTTTTTAAATTAACTTAACCTCGACGTATTTTATCCTCGTCAATTCGTCTATATTCGGCGCGTTTATTTTCAAATAAAATTGTTCTCCCGCAATCGGTGAATTTATTCTAAATCTTTTATAACCGAAAACTCGAGTTTGTTTGGGTAAACGATCCGTTGTTGTTGTTGTTGTTGTCGTTGTTGTTGCTGCTGCTGTTAATTCTTTTCCTTTTTTCCATCTTTTTCTCTGAGATTTTTTTACTTTTACTTCAACGTCTACTGCTCCGCCGCATGCAAGTACGTAAAAATGTAATTCTTTTCCCGTATCGTTCGCCTAAAAAACAAACAAACAAACAAACAAACAAACGTAAAATCATATAAATTATAACCTATTAAAAGATACATTTAAACAAACAAACAAACAAACAACAGTTTTAACGAATTAAAAATTAATCAAGTAAATATTTATTCGCGTGTGTTGTTTTCTTATTTGCAACAAAAACAACATACGCAACAGAAACAATATGGCGACCGTTTTTATCGTTATAAAACAATTTCAAATTATTATTATTATTATTAATACAATTAAATTCATAGAGAAAAAATTTAAACAACCTTATATCTAAACAAAGCTCTCCCTTCTAATTTTCTTAAATCGATTAATTTTTTAATACCATCTTTTAAAACGACGGGTTTTATCGTGTAATTATATTCGATGTACGATTTACCATATGGTATCGTTAAATTCGTTTTATTATTAATTGCAAATAAATTAAAATAATATTTAATTCCTTTTTTCATTCTCGTAAACGTCAATTGCATTTTTCTATCCACGCAAACGACCTAAAACAAAAATTAACGGTCATTATTTAACGTAATAATAATAATAAAGATGGGGGGGGGTAATTTTTTTTTTTTTTAGTTCAAAAACTCACCACCGTGTCGTTGTTATGTTTCATACTCCGATTTAATTTAACGTATTTTACATTTTCAGGTTTTTTTTCTATCCTTAAATTATTTAAATTAACTATTACGGGTACGTCGAAACCTTTCAACGTCGGTCCTTCTTCTTCTGCTCCGCATAACGACGTGTATTCCTTTTTCGTATTCACGACCAAACAATAACTCGTGTTTTGCGGATTCACCAAACTGTAATAATAATAATAATAATAATATTAATATATATTAATAAGGGTGAGTTTACGTAATACGTAATACATAAAAGAATCGATAATGATGATGATGATGATGATGATTTGTATTTAAACCTTTTTTAAAATTAAAATTAAATTTTTTTTTTTTGGGGGACCGATTACGATAAAATTTAATAGATTTAAATTTATAAAACGATATGGAAATTTCTAGAATTTGGGAGATTTGAGGATCCATTTTTCAAAGGAATCAAATTTGAAATTATAATTACGCGCGTGTACGGGAGAAGGAGTGAGAGGGGAGAAAGGGAGGGGGGGGAATTTAAATTTAAAAAAAAAACGAGAAACCTTTGATCCCACGTGACTTTTAATTTTTGCCGCCTTTGTGGTGTTAAAATAATATTTGAATTTTGTACGATTGATAATTCGTATGGACCACCGTCATCCATTGTGACGTAAACGCTCGCCGATCCGTCTTCTTCTCCGGGATAAAAAATGACGTAATAATATCCCTTTTTCGCTTTTGTCACCGTGACCGTTTTCAATGATGATGATGATGATGTTTCATATATTTCGCTTACATTTTTCTCACTTATGTTTTCCAAAAGGGACGTGTAATTCACTGTAAATTAAAATCATTATTATTATTATTGTAGAACATTCGTGTCGTGTCGTGTCGTGTCGACAACGACTACTACTACTACCACGTACTCACATTTTTTTACTTCTTCAAAATTTTTATATACGAGCGACCATTTAATTGTCGTTAAACAAGGAATAACAGTGACTGAAAAATTATGATCTTGATTTTCAACGTCCGCGTATTGGAATCTGAAAAGGGAAAAAGAAAATCTCGTAAATTTCATACGTTTGAAAAGAAAAAAATTAATGAAAATCCTCACGCACTCCCTCACTCACTCACGCACAGCCATTTTTTTTTTTGACATTATCGATATCGATTAATTTTTTATCGATTGATTTTTTTTTCCCTTTATTCCTTCTTTTAAGCTTATCGGTTCGATTTTGTTTTTCTTGATGAAAAGGAAAATTTTATTTATTTCCTCCATTTATAAAACAAATTTTCTGCTTACGTTACCGATTTCAAAAAAAAGCAAAAAAAAAAAATTTATCTGACACAAATATTATTATGTTTAATTACTCTATGACTTTTTAAAGTGTTTCACGTCCATTTTTAAAATATCCCCGTTGATAAGACTTATCATAGTATTTTATTAATTTATTCGACGCCATTTTTTTTCTTTTTTTTTTACGGGTTAAATATTATTTCCATCATCATCATCATTATCATCATCATTATTATTATTATTATTTTCAGTTATTGAAAAAAAAAAAAACAAGATAAAAAATGATACAAAATTGTAAATCGAGTCCAAAAAAAAAAAAAAAAAAAAAAAACGGTTTTCATTTATTTTTTTTTTTTAAATAATCTTATTTCATTTTTAAAAGTTTATTGCACTGTCTATGACTTTTTTTTTTTTTCTTTTAACTACCTTATATTACATTTTTTTTTTTTTTTAAAAAATAAAATGTCTTCATTTTCAATCGATTTAAAAAAAACCGTTTTAATTTAAAATCAACATTAATTATAAAATCACTTTTAAAAAAAAAAGTTTCAGTGTCACCAGAAAAAATCGAAAATTCAACCGTTATTTCGTTTTTTTACATCTCTATGACTTTTTCCCGATGTACAAAAAGCACATAAATAAAAATTACATTTAAAAAAAAAAAATGTTTTTTTTTTAAAGTAAATTCCCACATTTAAAAAACAAGGAAAAAAAGAGAAAAAATTCGACGAAAAAAATTTTAAAATTAGTTTTTTTTTTTTTTTTAAATTACAATCCGGAATCGAAAAGAAACGAAAAAAAAGAAATAATGATAATTGAAAATAAGTAAGGGAAAAAAAATTAAAAAAAAAAAAAAATAATTTTTTTTTTGTTTTAAAACCACACTTAAAAGTATAATTTTTGGCCATAAAAAAGCGATTATTAATTTTTTAGATTATAGTCTTCCCCCCCCCCCTTTCTCTCTCTCTCTCTCTCTCTCTCTCTCTCTCTCTCTCTCTCTCTCTTTACTCTTGTTGTTGTAATAAAAGCCTAAAATTTGGACATGTTTAAATGATTAT